TCATCAAGTGGTAAAATTTTATTTATGTCTTTTACAGGTCTCACATAAAAAGATGTTCTAACTTATATCAGCTGAGGGCAGAAGGGATCCCCAACTACCACTATGAATGGGCAAACAAATTCATTTCAATATTGATATTTTAGAAATAAACTAATGGCAACGATCATACTTCACCATTGTGGCCTCTACAGATAAGATAAGACTAATAATAACCACGATCGTGCTTTACCACTGTGGTCCTTACAGATTAATTGCGAATCCACTCTCGTCAAAGAAAATACTAGTACCATCACAGGGAGTGGTTCACCAATAGATTCAGATATAGAAACAGATGCAGAAACAGAAACTCCTCAGTGATAACGGTCAAACAAAATTTCAATTCTCTCATCTTTCTTTACTAATTTCGATCCACAGATAATCATGATTCCAGACCATGGTGGGAGATCAACATATCCCAACCTAAGTAGGCCTTTATACCTAGAATTGGCCATCGGGTCATCTTCTCTAACTGAGACTTAATAGAACAACTCTTTCCACTATCACTAAAGGGTAAAGTAGAAGGCCAAATCCGCACATATATCAAGTGTTATGAAATGTTCGATTAAATATGCATTTTCATTTTTAAGGAAAACTACAAACACATATATATTCACTCGTATCATGTAGTCGATGAACAATGTTTAATTTCATGCATAAAGACAAATCAACATTCGCAAATTAATTATCTAGAAATTCGTTTAGAAATGTATGAGAAAATACTTGAGAAATCTCTTACCAAAACCTTTAAGCTTTTCGAAGTCCTAACGGAAAAGATGGAAATATTACTTAATGACTTATAAACCATACGAAGGAAATTTGAACTCCCTGTCTCTCTCACAAATTTTCCCTAAATTCTTTCTATAATATGAGGAAGAAGAAATGTGTGAAGTGAAAAGGGAACAGGTGGGCCTTTTAAATAGATTTTCCATGCGAACGCCATAAGATTGCTTGGGCAATCAGTGGCTGCTGGTCGACCACTACATAAAATTTGCATTCACGCCCGAATGGGCTAACATGATAGATAAACTAGTAGGCATGCTCGCGCACTGTCATGTCCGCAACGTGACAACCCCGCGTGTGCAGCTGACACGCTCATCGGCTTACGGGCCTTTCTCATGGGTTCGTGGAGTTTTTTCGCACTGATTTTTTCGTTTTATGTTTTTTTTTTATTTTTCCTAAAAATTTCAGAATAATTTAGTACAAAATAATAATAATAAATAAAAATAATAATTTTGAAAATTAAAAATTAAGATAAGGTCAAGCGTAATAAAATTCTAAATACCGACTAAAATTTAAAATTAACGTCAAAGGCCGTAATGCACTAAAATATGAAGTATAAAAAAAGGGCATTTGAATACAAAGGTTTCGAGGTGCTACACTAATCCTCAAAATTTTTTCATTTGAGCCTAATGTCTCCTTATTACATTCTATAAAATTATTATTCTGAATTGACTTTGATGGATGCATCATAACTTTTTTGATGTTGTCTTAAGAATCTTAATAACGTACGTCGTATCATCTATTCTATACAAGGTGATTATTCAATTACCAAACCAGTGTTGATGCATGATAGGTTTAGAGCCTCCCAAGATTCATATATCTCATTTAAGTTAATCATTTCTAACTCTTGAAAATTAATATGTGATTATGTTGAAGATATCTTTTATACTCTCTAAATACCATCAAAACATACGCATTGTCTTTAAAGGTTTGGGGTTATAAACTATTTTTAGTTGGTCCTACTTGTATTGGAAATTCACTAACGTGACAGTTTAAGCTTATTATTCCTTCTTATAATCAAGACATTCAAGATAGGTGAGCACATAAATTAAGTTGGTGTAGTGGTTCTTTTATGACTTTCGAATAGTACTTGTGGTTTTGGTACAATATTATGGTTTTCAAGAACCTTATTTTTCTTTTTTGATAAATTGATATCATATTATATCTTTAATTCGTCAAAGTTTGAACGATCTCTAAAATGCCTCAATACTTGATTCAACTTTCCCTAAAGTCTTTTTGGAATTTTCATTACAAGTCATGGAGTCATAGTTACTACCAATAATCATTAGGAGTTTCTTTAGTAGAAGGGTCACTCATTAGTTTACTACATTTGGTTATGATCTTAAGATAGGGTTCACGAGCTTATCACATCATCAATTTCTCCTTATTGGTTTGGAGAGAAATTTCTTACGTGTGATTGGTTATAGGTCCACTACTATTCTACTGCACTATTCTTATAATACTTACTTTAAGGGTTTGTGGTAAGGTATTGGTATATTTTATCATTTTTTTTCTTCTTTTATGGTCTATTTAGCTATAAGGGAATCATAATCTAAGGTTTTCATGTTATTAGTGATTGTTGTCAAGGTATGTCCCAAGGGTTTCCTTTTCTTTTATAGAAATCTATTTTAGGAGGAACAAGGACTTTTTTGGGAGAAGTCTTCTAACTAGAAGTACTCTGTCTTAATTTACTATAAGGATTTCCTATCCGCTAAACACATAATTATTCGATCTCTTAAAGTACTTTTATTCACCAAACAATGATTATTCGCTAATTTAGGGCTTGAGTTGTTATTGGAACCTCTATACGGAACCTTGATAGAAATGTTGGGATGCATAGGGTATTCGTTCTTCCTAAATAAAATTCATGGGGACTATAAAATTCATCAAGGTATTTGGTAGTTATTTAGTCTCCCAAAATGCTTAAACTTAGGTATACTCGTTTTTGGATTTTTACTTCTTCATGGTCTCCAGCGAATTTAGAAAAGGTTTTCTTAAAGCTCACATACTTGGGATGTTTGCCTCCACTTTAGGGATTTTTCCTTCAATCAAAGGGTTTTTTCCCCCTATTCGGCAGATTTTTTTCCCATTTGGGGGATTTTATTTTTATTTGGAGAAATTTTCCCATAGAATGCTCCCTTTCCCCTAATCTAAGCAAAATTCAACATCTTCTTAGGCATTTACCCTATTTTCTTTCTTCGGTGGGTGCAATTCTTCAGTAAGAGTTTGAGGCTCTGAAGGTTTGTCTTATCATTTGCTATATTTGACTATAGAAATTACTTATTCACTCTTTCCAGTTAGCTTCGGGTAAAGCCATACTTGTAAAGGTTCGAACTAAAAGAAAAGGATATATTATCTAAAGGCGGAAACAAATAATAAAGTTAGGGTTTACATTTCTTACATAATAAATTAGAATACCCAATAGGGCTACATGAATATCCCTACTACAATGGATTGTAAAAAGAAGCAAATAAATGATTTAAAACAAATAGATAAATATCCTAGGGGTTAACCTCCACTAGCTATTGAAGGTGTCCGGGAGGTAAACTGCTCACAACCTTCTTGCTGATCGGGATTTAGATCTTAGTTCTCTTAATATAAAATGGTTAATAGAAGATTGAGCTACACTAGTACAGTAAGAATATCACTCTAATTACTGATATGAAAAATAAAAGTTGGTAAAAATCATAAAACAACTAATGGATCCCTTAATTTAAGTAAATTCATTTAATATCAAAAAACTATTTCCATACTTACTATTATGAGTTTTTCAAAACAAACTTATAAGACGAACACCTATATAACATCTATAATCTCATGTACAAGTGAGTAAAGTTGGTCATTCTCCATTTTTACCTGTTTACTGGGACTCTTGGGGGTCCATAGGGACATTCCCTTGTTCGTGAACCTAATATCTAGATTTGTTGATTTACCTAGTCGTCCTCACATTCCGTCTGGTAATGGGCGCTGAACACACCATCGCATCGATACCTCATTCGGTATGAGGGTGAACCATATTTTCTAACCTTTCCGGTATGGGATCCCTCAGCTCCATCTGACTGAGGTATTGTCTACGGTAGGGTTTTTACTATGTACCGAGTCCGTCCACTCTTTTCTAGGGTACCCAGTAAGTCATCTATATATAAATCCCCATCAACAAATAATCATCAATTGTCTACTAACATGTCATTTTATATTCGCAGATCAATCAAACGACATTTAAACAAATAACACATCTTTTATACCTTAACAATTAAGAAACATAATTAGGGTCCTATTTTAAATCAGTCAATCAGATAAAAATCACAATCAGACAATCAATAATGAGGAAGTAACTAAATGTAATAATTAAATCATACGGCAGAATAATAAATAATTCAGACAGTGTAGGAAAATAAATAGACATATAGACGAGTTTAGAGCAATCGTATACTAACTAATTTCTAGCTCCACTAGTGACTTGTAATTATTGTTAGAGTTTTTCTAATTTTTACAAAACATACGATTACCAATTTATTAAATCTCTATTTATTGTAATAGGGAATAGGGTGAGAGATCCTTACTCGGATCGGTGCTTCAACGTACTGTGCTACCCACTACGCCTCTTGAGGGGCCCTAAGTTTCCTAAATTTTTTCTGCGGAAAATTAAAAT